CAAGGTGGAGGAGAACTCTGCCATCAGCAGGTTGTAGTCCACATTGCTGCCTCTGCCCAGTGTTACTGGGAGGTACAGGTGTGACTTTAAAGGCTTAATCTTCAGTTGGAGACATTGTGATTCCATAAACATGACACTGTATCCAAACTGTGGCAGAGTGGTAGTGTCTTATCATTTGCTCTACTTGAGTGTTAGAACTATAGATCCTTTCAGCATCACAAGGACTGGAAATAGATCAAAACAACCAGACACATCACTCAACTGGTATTGCTGCAGCAAAGCTTTGTGTTACAGGGGATAAAACAGAAAGAAAATCTTACATGTGTATTAAGGGTTTGAATTCCTTAGGTTTATGTACTTAAAATGGAATATTTAGAAACTATTTGGCCGTGTCTTCTCCATAAATCAGGTAACGTATTTATTAATGGGGTTTTTTTCTGAATTAACACATCATTGCAGAGTTGGTGTGTCTGCTAGCTCTATATGTGTGTGCACACACACAAAGAAATTCTTCATACCACCTTAAAAAGCAGTAGAACTGAAGACCTGGAAGGTCTTACTACAAGTATTTTTTAGGTGTCAGATAAACTGAGAAGTCAGTTTGACAGTTCTTTACATACTTCTTTCTGGTGTACAAAGATATGGATGTTACTTTTGCTGCATGAGGGCAGGAAAAAAAGCCCTGAAATGGCTCATTTTGTTCTGTCTGTTTGTTGTGTAGGCAAGTTCAATATCAACAACACCAAGGATTTGTACCGGGATCTGGTTTCTGTTTTTGACAAGCTCATTTTACCAACCCATGCTTCATGTCATGTGCAGTATTTCATGTTTTACATCTGTAGCTTTAAACTGGTGAGTAAAAGCAGTTCTTAAATTGCAGTGTCCTCTGTCATTTGTGCATCCTTGGTTTGGCTTTTTTAATAAAAAATAGTCGTTTTCTGCTGTAATTCCAGCCTGAAGATAGCAAGTACATCAGGGTTCATGAATATCTTTTCTTGCTTTTCCTTTCTTTATGTGATTGCTCTTCACATGTTGTTTATAAACTGCATACAGATGGAGTCTAGGCAAGTGTGAAGGAAAGAACTCAGTTAAATGGGCCTCTTTTGCAAGAATCAGTTGGACAGTGCTCCAGCAAGTTTCTTCAGCATCCCAAAGCTATCTTAGAGATTCTGTCAGCATATCAGTGTGAAAATTGTATCTGCTGTTTGCTGTTCTCCCCCATTTTCCCATCTCTCTCAACAAACTGTTCTCTTACACATGAAAATAAGAACATTCATTTTTTTGTGTTAGAGTAGCTGAAGGGCCAGTTAAGCTACTGCCCTGTCTGTGACAGTGGTGAATAGTGGATATGTTAGAGAGAATATCAGAGTGGGGCAAGCCTGTATGATGTTTGGCTAAAGTACCCTCAGCCTGCAGCAGTATCTGTAACTTCCTGAGCCATAGTGAGATGGTAACAGCTTGTGATGGACAAATTCAAGGAGAAAGTATCTCATGATACTTTTTGTAATGATGTGATTTTTGTCATTGTGAACTTGTGTGGCAGAAAGTTCCACAATATAATCATTTAAGGTGAAGAATCGCTTTTGTTCTCTAAATTTTTTCTCCTCCTATTTTTATTAGATGCCACTGATTACTTCTGCTACAAGACTCAGTGAACACTCACTTCATGTTTATCTTCCTATCCCACTTGTTTTTAGACACTTCTTGTGTATCTGTTCCTGACTCTTACCTAGACTTCTGGTTCCCCTTATTTTTTACAGCTAAGTAGAGAAAAAAACAGAGAAATGAGTGTTCTTCCATCATGTCTAGGAATAGTGATTTCCTGCAGTTATAGGTAGATTTGTTTAATGGTTTGGTTATGGAAATTGAGTATTAGGAATCTATTCCTTAAACAGTGTCATCAGTATAACAACTCACAATTTCTGTGTATCTTTTCCCAGGGGTTGGCTGAGGCATTTTTAGACCATCTTTGGAAAAAACTGCAGGATCCCAACAATCCCTCAGTGATCAGACAGACTGCTGGGAGTTACATTGGCAGCTTCTTGGCAAGAGCTAAATTTATTCCAGCTATGTAAGTTGTTTTGATGCATTAGGAGAACCAAACAATTTACATTGATTGAGGACCTTAAGTACAGAATTCACAGGATACACACACAGTGTTGGTCTTCTATTCCCACTGCTTTGCCAGTAAGCCTGAATCAAGAGTCTTGTTTGTGCTTTCAACAATACTGTTTCAGTATTGTCTCAAAGTTTCCTGGAAAGTTTTGCATGCACAGGATAGAGACTAATGATTGCTGGGGCTCATGACTGGCTGTTTAGGGCTCCACTTACCAAAAAGTGGTGACCATGGGTGGGTTGTGTTGACTTCAGGCAGAGTCACAGGTTCCTGGTATATATGATGATCAGAAGCAGAAATTTTTTATGCTATTAGGTATTTTATGTATATGCTGGGACAGGGAAATCAGGTGTTCTAGTATTTTGATACAGGTGGATCAGCAAATGGGTGAAAATGTCTTTTGTATGTGCACATTGTATTCTGCTGGTCAGGGTGGGCTTGGTGACCTTAGTGCTGAAGTCAGTTGAATATTGGAGTTACCTGTTGGACATGGGGGTTGTCTCTGTACTACCTGTGGCTCATACTTACTATGTGTTCACATACAATGTCTGTTAATGGAGTTATCTTTTCTGGCATCTTGTACTTTCACTGATTGGGGGTTTCAGTGCTGATTGATTCATTTTATGCTGAGATAAGAGAGAAAGCTCCTAACAGAATCTGTTTTTACAATGAGATTTTATAACCACCGAGATTGAATACTTATTTAACATCTTTTCTGACCATTTCAGCTGCTGTTTTTACACTTCTCTTTTTTTTTTCCACTCCATTGTAGCACAGTAAAAGCATGTCTGGATCTTCTGGTGAACTGGATGCATAAATACATTGATAATCAGGATACAGGAGCTAATGCTTACTGTGATGTAGCTCTGCACGGGCCATTTTATTCTACGTGTCAGGCTGTGTTCTATACACTCATTTTCCGTCATAAACAACTTTTGGATGGAAATTTAAGGAAAGGTGAGTATATTGGGTCTGAAAGGATTCATTTGCAAGTTTCCCTGTTGATGTGTTTTGTAATGATCAGTTCAGTCAAGTGTCTGATGGCAAGTTTATGTTGTTGTGCTCTAAATGAGCTTATGTGATATATAACCTTTGTTTGTCAATTGTTCTTGTTTTCAAGGTCTGTCATACCTGCAGAGTTTAAACTTTGAGCGCATTGTCATGTGTCAGCTAAACCCCCTGAAGATTTGTATCCCTTCTGTTGTCAACTTGTTTGCTGCCATTACCAGGTACCTACTCACTTAATTCACTTTCAGCTTGGTACAGATCTTTGTGTAATCTAAAACCAGCACAGTACTTAGAACACGGTGTTTGTTAGCCACAGTACTGAATATTTCCTAAGACATCTCTAACACTGTCCATATTCCAGGTGTGGTAAGTTTAGTTCTGGTCCAGTTTCCATGAAATCCTACGGTGCTGTGAAACTGATTGCTCTGTGTTGGAGCCAGTGTAATCCTATTTGGAGTAAAATTTATGAGAGCATAGAGGATGAGAAGAAGAGACTCATTACATTGTGGGTATTAAAACCTCCTAATATCAGCTGGAGAATGGAAGATAGAAGTGAGATTTGTTTGAAAATAACTGTTCTAATACCATCTGAAATTCTTGCTCTCAGCTAGAAGTGCTTATTTTTTCTTTCTTACCTTTTGAAAGGAAATACCAGTTGGTGTTTTGCTACACAATTATTGAGAGGAACAACAGGCAGTTCATCCCAGTGGTTCGGAGTGGCACGGGGGGAGACCTTGTGCAGACATGCACTAACCCCCTTGACAGTTTCTTCCCCTTTGATCCCTACATACTCAAAAGGTACAGTTTGAAAATAAGCAGCCTGTTTCTTTCTGCCTTGTGGAAAACAGTGAAGAAAAACTGTAGGAAACTTAAGTGTTTCTACAGTTTGCTTTCTTCCCTGATCTTTAGTACCTTTCACATTGCATATTTGAACCAGAGATTGGCAAAGGTTTGAATTGAAATTTACCACTACTGTGACAGACAGCACTGAAGAAGGAACAGGATCCAGTTTCCTAGAAGATCTAGTTAATATGTTTGATGACATCTTTGGGCTTTTCTTTCTTAAAAGCAGTCTCTAAAATATGATAATGTTAGTCTAAATCATATTTTGTGGAAACTGTGGTGGTATTGTCTCATTTTCTTTTGGGTTTCTTGCATTGTAAACAAATTGCTTATTGACTGGAGATTTCAGCTTTTTTAAAGTACCTTGGTTTTAATGTAGGGCAACATTCTGTCTTTTGTCTTTTAAAAAATACATCTCCATAGAAGGGAGACCTTTCTTAAAAATTATTATTAACAATGTAACAACACAAACTAATAATATTAATAAAGTTATTCATACAGTATTTGAAAATCAGGGAGAAAGTTGTGCTTCTCTGTGAACACAGTGTAGCTGTTAAAAATGATCAGTTTGGAATTAGGAGATCTGACTGTATCAAAACTGTTCAAGCAAACCTTTCTGATTTATACCTGTCAGAAAAATGGAGTTATTTTTCCATGGGATTACTTGGGGACTACATAGGGGTTAATAGTCTGTAAAACCCTACAAAGGGCTATCAAATGTCAAGCATTTTATATTGTATTATTAAAATGAAATATACATGACTTTTCCTAAATACATTAACTCATACTGTGGTTTGGTTCCTCTCTCAGATCAAAGAAGATCATTGATCCTTTATATCAGTTCTGGGAAGAGCTGAGTGCTGAAGATCTTGAGAATCTGAAGAAACCCATTAAAAAGGTAATCTTTCCTGATCAGAACACAGTTTAGTTTCTTGCAAATCTCTATCAGCTGCTTCTATTGCAGGATTTGATTTTCTTTTTTAGTAGCTATGAGTACACCAAACATTTGGGGAAACTGATTGAAATTTGGAAGCTTTAGGAATTGAGTGATTCTTACCTTGAGAGTGTTTTCCCCTCTTGTGCAGCACAGGACCCCTGTGAATCCTTCTGAACACTCTCAGAATGTGGACACAATGATGTCATTGGGAAATCCACTCTGGAGATGTGACTTAGTTCCCATAGAGGACATTTTACCATTCCAACTGTCATGACAACCATAACAACCAGTTACAACTCCAGGTCTCTTTTAAGGTCTGACAGTGGCTCTCTGCTCTCAGTGATCCTTTTAAATTTCTGCAGGGTTCTTCTGAAGATGAGGATGATGACTTTCTGAAAGGAGAAACCCCTCAGAATGATGGTGTGGTTGGAAGTGCTCCCAACCCCTACGAGTTAAGCACGCGGAGCCCGGTGAGCAGCATGGGCTCCCCTGCAGACTGTTACGTGCCATTCCCTCAGTGACACAGGCAACCAGAAGTGAAAAAGTTGAAGATTGTGTGCAATGTTTTCCTCTGTGAAGAGACTTTCCAAACTGGCAAATGTTGAAGTAACTATATTAAGAAAAAAAATATTGTTTCTTCTTTCTACAGATGTTACAAAGTTGCTAGAAAAGCTTAGAGAATAAATAGGGTGATATTTTACAAATTTCACATTGAAATGGTTTTTATGATGTACTAGGATTTATTTTTTTTAATAGTTTTTCCTGACTCTTAAAAACTTTATTTACTAATGTTTCTCTACAAGGTTTTA